AGCATCCACATGGTAGCTAACAACTATCTGTAATTCAGTTCCAGAGGATCTGATGCCCTCTTCTGACTTCCACAGGTATTGCATGACATGGGTGTACCTTACGTAAACGCAGGCAAAGCACTCATGCACATAAAATTAAAAAATAATAAATAAAATATTTAGAAAAGGATGGGATTGTCATTTAAAAATAACAAATAGATTAATAAATAGAAAACAATTTAATCATCTTCAGAGAAACATACAGAATACTGTTTGAATAAATAGCGAGGCACTGTGACCCAATACTTGTCACCATGCATCAAGACACTAAGAGTTTTGATAAATTCTGAGATTGTGAAGAATTTTATCAGGCAATTATTTTCATATTTTCTTTTGGTCTTTACATTGCTAATTTTTTTGTAAGTTTTCTAACACAAAGTCATTTTGTTAAGAGAAACACAATTTGATCAAGAAAAAGAGCTATCCGAGGCCACCCTTTGTTTTCTATTCGAGGCCCCCACCTGTGCTGAGCAGAGAGTAGTCAGTCTGGGACTAGGATGTGCTGAGATAGCCAACTGAGCCACCTGTCTTGGCCTGCCCTCTCTGGGCTGGTTGGGAGGGGCCCATAGGCTGCAAGAAGAGCCTTATGCAATATGCCTTGGTGCCTGTGGGTGGGGTCTGACACCTGCTGGTATCATAGTCCTTACCAGATCAGGGTGGGGCTGACAGGGCATCTTAGCCCTCAGGAGTCAGGGCCCTGGGGTGAGAATAGGAGGGACAAACACACAGGGATCATGTGCCAGGTATGGCAGTAGCCTCATCCTACCCACTCTGGGGAGTATGTGACCATTCCCCAGCTCTCTCTGACCTTGTTAAGGTCTCTGAATGGATACTGCCTTTGCCCTGTTTCTCTCAGATTCTCAAGAGCATTGGGGCCTGGAGCTGCTTGAACCCCAGGGCAAGGATATATTCCTGTGGCCTGCCAAATCTTCCCAGGTCTCTAGGTCTCTGCCACAGAGGGCACAGGTCTGTACAGCCTGAGGGCACAGTTCCACACAGTGCCCTCAACTCAGTCCTCATCTGTACTTTGGACCAGCTGGCTACACTCATTTGGAGGTCTTTAGGACTGCCTGACCTGCTAAGATGACTCCTGTCACTCTGTCTGGAGGGGTAGAAACTTGGAGCATCAAAAAAGCACTAGGCTTATCATGACAGGTTTATGATATCAAAAAGATGCAAGTTAAAATGGGCAGCAGGGGCTGGAGAGATGGCTCCTCGGTTAAGAGCACTGGCTGTTCTTGCAGAAGACCCAGGTTCGAATCCCAGCATCCACATAGTGGCTAACAACTGTCTGTAACTCCAGTTCCAGGGGATCCAACTCCTCTTCTGTCCTCCTCGGGCATTGTGTGACACAGGTGCACTTACATACATGCAGGCAATACACTCATACACATAAAATAAAAATCAATCAAAAGAAAAGAAAAACCCACACTAAAATGAGCTGAGGGAGCACAGGGCAGAGTCTATGGGGGCTTCCAGTACTGACTCCAGGCTCCTTCTCTGCCGTCTTAGATGATATTCCCTCCATTTGGCCAAGAACGGGACAATTCACATAGGGCAAAATAGGGAAGAGTGTTTCCTGTTGCTAATCAGGAATGTCACCAGATTGTCCCTAGAGATTGATTCCTGGAGGTCAGGCTAGTACTTTTAATCTCCAGTTCCTTCAACCAGTTGAGGTCAGTGACCCCAGGAAACAAAGACATTCCTGCCAAACAAGACATGTAGGGGCCTCAAGATTGCCTGTCCATAGCTGACAGCAAAACCCAGATTGCTCCATTGTAAAGTCAGATCTCTAGCAACAGGATATGTTACAGACTGACAAAGACGAAGAGATAAGGCTTGGAAATCAGGGAACTGCTGTGAAAAGCCCCAGCTCTGGGCCTGCCTTTGCCACTTAATAAAAAAGTTAAAACTATTTTTATTCTAATTAATAAATTTTTATTTTATTTATTTATTTATTATTTATTTATCTACTTATTTATTGGTCTTTTTGAGACAGGGTCTCCCTGTAGCCCCAGCAGTCCTGGAACTCACTATGTAGACCAGGCTGGCCTTGAACTCACAGAGATCCGCCTGCCTCTGCCTCCCAAGTGCTGGAATTAAAGGCGTGCGCCACCACCGCCGGCAATTTTTAGTTTTTTAAAGGCTGCATCTCCCTGTAGCCCTGGAGCTCACTATGTAGACCAGGCTGGCCTCAGTTCCTAGCCTGGAACTCACTATATAGAACAGGCTGGCCTCAGTCTCACAGAGTGCTGAGATTAAAATTGTATGCCACCATACACTGCTAAAAATTTATTTATTTATTTTATTCCATGTGAATGCCTGTTTTACGTGTATGTAAATACAACTGTGCATACAATGCTGGAAGAGGTCAGAAGAGGGCATAGGATTCCCTGGAACTAGAGTTACTGATGGTTGTTAGCTGCCATGTGGGTGCTGGAAACTGAACCTGGATCCTCTGCAAGAACAACCAGTTAGTTCTCTTATCCCTGAGCCATCTGCCCAGTACCTGGCCTTGCCATTTTCAAATTTAGTGAGTTTGTCTGTTTGGTTGTGGGTTTCTTTTTTATCATTTATAAAATATTTATTTTTATTTTACATGTAGGCGTGTTTGTCTGTATGAGCACCATGTGCACGCCTGGCGTCTAAGGAAATCTGAAGAGGGTGTCAGATCCCCTGGAACTGGAATTATAGAGTTGTGAGCTGCCATGTGGGTGCTTGGAACCAAACCTAAGACCTCTGTAACAGTAGCAAGTGCTGTTAACTACTGAGCCATCTCTCCCACCCCTTGGACTTTTTTTTTTGTTACATTTTATTTGTTTATTTTGTGTGTGTGCACACACATGCCACAGCAAGCATACAGAGGTCAGAGGACAACTTGCAGGAGTCGGTTCTCTCTTACCATTTGGGTCCTGGGATTAAACTCAGGTTGTCATGCTTGGCAACAAGTTCCTTTACCTGCTGAGCCCTCTCACCAGTTCTTGTTAGGTTTGGGCTTGGTTTGGTTTGGTGTTTTTGAAACAGGGTCTCCCTGTAGCTACAGTTGGCCTGGAACTCATTATGTAGTCCAGGCTGGCTTCAATGTCACAGAGATCTGCCTGCCTCTACCTCCCGAGTGCTGGGATTAAAGGTGTATGTTATGCTTGGCTTGTTTTGTTTTGAAGTAGGGTCTTGTTATGTCGCCCAGACTGGCCTCAAACCAGTAATCCTCCTGCCTCGGACTCCTGAATGCTGGTATTACAGATGTGTACTATGCTTGTTGTGGGAGACAGGCTTGAGCCTAGGGTGAAAGTCTTATTGACAGCCATACAGCAGGCCTGAGGCAACGGCCCGACTGCTGGAGCCACAAGGAATGCCTTGTGACATTTTGCTCCCATTGGCAGATCATGAGACTGATGCCTAGAGCTTGCCACTCCCTAATCACCATCCTTGGAATCAAGGTATCCTACTTGCTGTGCTGTGATTGGACCACTATCCCTATATAAGCGTGTGCTTTCCTGCAATAAAGCAGACCTGTGTCACTTAGCCTGGTCTCCTGTGTCTGAATGCAGCTCTGCTGACACAGTCTCCTCACCAGCCCTGGGGTCCGGACCGGATGACTGATCAGAGGAACTAAGAGAGCAGGAGAGCAGCCATAGCTGGAGGAGAGCAGCCACAGCTGGCGACCACAGCTTGTCTGTGATTAGTGATCTTGAGCAAGTTGCTCAACCCATCAGTGTCTACCAAAGACTACTAGGAACATCTCTGGTGGTTGGAATTTCATTGATAGTTGTTGCTAAATAAGTCGTTATCTCAGTAGAGGTGAAGGTTGGACTTATTGAAGGATTTGGGTTTGCAGGATGTGATTTTTTTAAGAATTTTATGTGTATGTGTGTTTTACCTGCACGTATCTAAGTGCACAATGTGTATGTAATGACCAAGGAGGTCAGGAGGCATTATATTTTCTGGAACTGGAGTTACAGATGGTTGTTCTGCCATGTAGGTTCTAGGAACCAAACTCAGGTCCTCTGCAAGAGCAGCCAGTGCTCTTAACCACTGATCCATCTCTCCAGGAAATGTTCAAGTAGCAAAGGCTTGTCCTGAATTGGGTGCTGTCAGGCATTGGGGGTGATTATACAAATGGATGTCTTCATAACTTTTATCTAGGAGGTAGGGGGCCCGGCAGAGCTAAAAAGCCATAAATAAGGCTAGGTGTGGTAGTACACACCTTTAATACCAGCATTTGGGAGGCAGAGGCAGGTAGGAAGTCAGCCTAGACTACATAGCAAGTTTCAAGCCAACCAGGGCTACATAGTGATATCCTGACTCAAAAAAATGATGCACACACACACACACACACACATATATATATGTATGAATGCCATAGAAAAGTATTCAAGATAATTTTAGGATTGGAGAATACAAGTTCAAAATACAAAAATAACTTGAATTTTCATAAACAATCTCAAAATGACATTAAGATAATAATTCTATTTATAATATCATCAAAAAGAATAAAATACTGATGAATAAATTTAACTCTAAGACATGTATACTGAGGCATAGTGAGATCTTAAGATAGAGATTTTTTTTTTGAGCTCCTATCTCATATACACAAAAAACCTTGCATACTGAAGAGGAAGAGCAGGCTGTGTGAGTCCAATTGCCTAAAGTCACCCTGAATCCATTCTGCTCAGAAATGAAAGTAATCACTTGTGAAAGCTTGTCTGGTATGGCCAACTGTTGTATGCACTGGCCAGGTGAGGAGTTTTTCAACTCCTCTCAAACCAGCTAAGAACATAGGGGAGAAGAGTATGTGAGAGTACAGCCCCTCTGGACAGTAAGACCAGCTACCGAAGTGGCGCAGGACTGGGAGAGGGCCATCCAGGGTGTCTGGGCAGTGCCCAGGTTCAGAGTTAAATCCCCCAGCTCCTGGAGGGTCAGAGTGTGGCCCTTGGGGTCTTAAGGGTCTCTGAGAAGTGTCATGTCTGCACCCCCGATGGCTTGGCCTCTATGGCTCTGCACTTCAGAAGAGTCCTTAAGGCCTGCAGGATGGTGCTCTGGTTGTTCTGCACATTGTAGTCACTGAGCTTCAGCAGACGGTCAAAGTCTTCCTCCTTGTAGGTCATGTTGTACAGGATGTAGGGGGAGGTGGCCCCAGTGAGATCCACTTGACCAGCCTGGAGCTCAGCAGGGCTGCGCCGGACACCTGCCCAAGGATGAGAAGAGGTTCTGGAGCAGGACCCAAAGGCCTCAACTGGGCAAGACTAAGCCTTGGCAGCTGTGCCCAGAGGAGGCTGTTCCCCAAAGAAAAGGTCATCGCTTTTCCCCTTTGCTAAGAAATGCAAATGTGAGCGGTAGGATTCAATTTTGCCCTCGAAAGGATGACATTCCTCCCACTCTTCAGGCAGCTCACCATACTGCCCCATTACTTCCCAAGAAGCTAGAAACAGCGAGAACAAGGAAGTCAGTTGGGTTAGGGAACGGATTCTTAAAGTTCATGATAGAAAAAAAGGGGTTTTTTTGCTTTGGAAGAAGAAGTATAGATAGAGAGAGAAAAGTTCCCCAGAATTCCAAGATATGGGCTTCACATGTTAAGAATAAAGTTGGGAGCCTGGTATAGTGATACAGGCCTACAAGTCCACCTCCTCAGGAGACTGAGGCAGGATGCAAGTTCAAGGCCTGCCTGGGCTGCAGAAAGAGTTCACAGGTAGCCTGGGCAAGTTTTAAATTAAAAAAAAATTCTTGTTTTATTTATTTTTTATTTTATACATCAGAGTGGTTTTGCCTGCATGTATGCTAAGTGCACCAGGTGCATGCAATGTTTGCAGAGGCCAGAAGAGGGCATTGGATCCCATGGAACTGAAGGTAGGGACCGTTGCTAGCTGCCAGTGGGTGTTGGGAACTGAACCCAGGTTCTCTGCAAAAGCAGCCAATGCTCTTAACTGCTAAGCCATCTCTCCAGGCCCTGGACAACTTCTTTTTTTTTTTTTTGGTCTTTTTGAGACAGGGTCTCCCTGTAGCTCCAGCTGTCCTGGAACTCACTACATAGACCAGGTTGGCCTTGAACTCACAGAGATCTGTCTGCCTCTGCCTCCCAAGTGCTGGGACTACAGGCGTGCACCACTATGCCTGGCTTTGCTGGGCAACTTTTAAAAATGGGCGGGGGTTGGGGGGTAGATCAGTGAAGAGCACTTGCCTGGTGTGTGTGAGGCCTTAGACTCAAAACCTAGTACAACAAAAGGAGGGAGGGAGGTGGGGGAGGGAGGAAGAGAAAAAGAAGAAAGGAAAACAAAAGGAGAAAAAGTAAAGCCAGAAACCAGGTATGATGATGTACACATGTAATCCCAGTACTCAAGAGACTGAGCCAGGAGGATTGCTGTGAATTTAAGGCCAATCTGGGGTACACAGTGAGTACCAAGCCAGCCTGGTACCAGTACCAGACTATCCAGCAAGACCTTGTCTCAAAACAAACAACAACTAAAAAAGAGCAAATCTAGAAGATTCAGAATCATGGGAACAATGCACCAAGAAACATTAGCTTCCCCCACCCAAAGGAGATGAAATTCTGACAAGCTGGCAGGAAAGAGGATAGGAAGGCAAGTGGTGAGGGCTTAGATTTAGAGGGACCTTTGAGGAGAGGAGCTCCCTGGAGGGGCAGGCGAACAGGAGTTTGGGGTGTTCAGAGGCACAAAGGGTTGTGACAAAGAAGACATCAGGACAGTGACATGATGGTATTACAGGAATGAGGGTATTACAGGAATGTGGGCATCAGCCACTGTGGCCAGGGAGACATGTCCAAAGACTGATAAGACCAGCCCGAAACCCAGACTGGTAGGGGAAGGGGAGCCTCACCAGGGGCTGAGTGGTCCCTGAAAGAGCCATTGACCAGAGGGAAGTGCAGAAGAACAGGGGCCTTGGGGCAGGTGGGGTCTGAGAAGACATGGCACTCCTGGGGTTGGCATTGGTCCTCAGGGCTGGGCTCCACGTGGGGGAAGGGCAGGCCCCGACCTCTACAGTACTTCTCAGCCTGCTGCAGCGTCTGGTGGGGCAGAGGGTGGCCCAGAGAGAGCCAAATCATCTCAGATCTATACTCTAAAATATGCTAGGTCTGTTCTAACTCCCTCAGCATCAAGACTACAGCCTGGTTCTATTCCCCCCGCCCCACCAATCTAAGCTGCCCTCTGGGGGAATCTGAGGGTCCCAGTGGTTAAAAGTTTTAGTTGGAGATGAAGGCCCAGCACCCCTCACCCAGTTGCTCCATCAATTTAGTCTGAAAGCCTAGAAGGCCTCAGGAGGGGACCTACATGTGCATTACCATAACCCAGAGTTCCCAGAGAAAGTTGGGGGTTGTCTGTGGGAATGCTTGGGGGTCTCTCGCCAGCTCTGTCCAGCTGTTCTACCCCAAAGAGTTTCCTGTTCATCTGTCCTGGGAGCCCAGGGCACCAGCACCACCACTGCCCTTCCCAACTGAGTACCCAGCTTCCTCCCTAAGGGTCATAGGAAGTGTACAGCAGTGGCACAGTGGCCCTGTTGCTCATCCCTGGAGGTTAGCTTGGTTGAGCAGAAGGGTTTCCACAGAGTGACTAGAGGCACCTCAAAGGGTGAGGATTGGGAGTAGCTGAAGGAGAGTATGAGGTCCACTTGGCGGCCAGGCCGGAACATGGAGGGACAGCTGCTGTTGATGAAGTAGCCAACGTCCACTAAGAAGAGCTGAGGGTCCTTGGGGGTCAGCTGACTGGGGATGTTGTCTAGGTGGCAGTCTGATGGGAAAAGCAATGACAATTAGAAGCAGCCACCTTGCCAAGAGCAGCACGCTCCTCCACCACGTTCCCCTCTGCATCCTCTTCTTACCTCTGAATACAGGTCACCTCAGTGCTTCCCCCAGACCACCAATGGGAACTTCTCCAGATCATACCTCTCCCCATACCTCTGTCAGCCAGCAACCACAGCTCATCCCCACCCAGGAGACTGGCCTTGTGGAGACATAGAGCCCTGGCCCTTACCTGCCCAGGTGGAGAAGTCTTTCTGGTCACAGTAGTCCCGGTGCAGCTGGAGGCCATGGAGGAAGTTGGCACTGCACTGGTGGAATGGCCTGCCAGTCAGGAAGCCCTTAAATGCCTTGGCCAGGGCTGTTCCAGGCTGCAGCCATGAGGCCTCCACACAGGAGGAGGTTCCAGAGGAGGTCAAGGTCTCCTCTGTATCCAGAGACACAAACATTGCTCCAGTGAGAGGCCCAGAAATGCCTGTCCTTCCTTCCCCTCCACCAGTCTCCAAAGAGGAATACCTCATCCAAGGCCCCCACCTCCAGCAGCTCTTCTACCTGAGTTCTGGACCTTGTCTGCAATGCGATGTTTCCAGTCTTTCCCAGAGGTTAAATCATACCAAATGTCCATCAAGTTTATGGAGAAAATGTTGCTCCAGATACCTGAAGGTCAAATCCCCAAGAGGGGTCAGCCCTTAGGCCCCAGCACCCTATCTTTCCCACACAATGGTCCCACACCTGGTGTCATTGGAAAATGTATGTGGAGAGAAGGCTGTTCTGGCAATGGCTCTTCCCCTCTGTGCACCTGCCCCTCACCCTGGGGCTCTGCCCATACCTGAGCTACAGGAGTCCCATCAAGAAAGAGACCTCTCTCACCTTCCAGAAAGCAGATCTGGGACTCAGGAAGCCTCCTCATCAGCCGCCCCATGAAGAACTCAGAGCCAAAGAGCTCAGGAGGGACAAAGCATCCATATTTCAGGAATCCAACCTCATAGGGAGAGAACTCCACCCATTCTAATGGGATGGGAAAGAGAGGTGGGGATATGAGGGGAGTAGGCTAGGAGGTGGGACTCCCAGCTCTCTTGAGGGCCAGTGACACTATCCCTGGCAGGCCTCCAGCTCCTCCCTGCCTGTTCCCAACACTGCAGATGTGAGGAAAGCAGACTCCTGGGTGACCACCCTCACCCCTGTTCACATGCTCAGACACTCAAGGATAGAGTGTTCCCTGGCTGACTCCTGGACCACCACCCTTCCAGAGATTGGACACTCTGCGGGAGTTGCTACACTGAATACTCTGGGGACTCTGAGGGTCAGGAGGAATTGAAGGGTATTGAAGGCTGCAGTGTGTGGAGCTGTACCCTTAAAGTGGAGGGTATCCAGATTGTTCTCTTTGACATTGAGGCTCAAGTAGAGGGGTAGAGGGTTCTGACCATGCTCCAGTGCAGCTCTTTGTCCCGACAGCTTCTGATCTGTCACCTGCAGTCGGAGGCATGAGGATCAGCGTGTATAGGAAGCATTCCAGCAGGGCCAGGGTAGGATGGGGGCAGAGGGGGTGGTGAGGAAGCAGCTGCTCCATTGAGTTCTGAGGGTATGAATGGGTGTGTGCAGCCGGTTCTGACCAGCCCCATATGTAGGTCACCATATCTTCAGGAAGGGTCATTCTCAAAGACTACAATGTCAGTAAGCCCCTACCCCCATCCCCATCCTGTTCTTCCAGCTCTGTGAATTTATAGCTGTATTGAATGTGGGTATGGACACAGATACAAACATATAAATATGAGAGAGAGAGAGAGAGAGAGAGAGAGAGAGAGAGAGAGAGAGATTGATTTCTAGAAAGCATAGAGCAATCTCCTTTTAGCACACATTCTATGCTGTGCCAGGGATGTGCTGCTCTTTTTGGGTTCACTTTAATGCAGTTCAAATCTCAGTCTCTTCCAAATGTTTTCCTGACACCCTTTCCTCCCCCACACCACGCTCCTTTCTCACTTCACACAGTAAGAGGTTGTACTATGTGGTTTGGTTTATTCCTGCCTCTGTCCCTAATTCACTTAAATAAAACTCCAAGCTCTGTCTTTACTAACAAGGCAATGCCTTGCAGTTTGCGAGGCGACCCCATGGAAACTCCCTGAGTTCCAGGGGCACAGAAAGACATTATTCTGACCTGAATCTGAGATGTGCATGGAGTTCCCCTGGAGCTTGGGCAATGTGAATAGTGGTAACTGTCTGGAGCCCCACTCAACAGGAACAGGGCTGCACTGTTACAGACAGGACATTTCATGTACTAGGAATGTGTCATCCCTGTCTTAGGTGGTCCAAGCTAGAAAGATGGAGTCCTCTTGGGCTCCCAGCCTGCCATATCAACCCTTATTTGCTTAGAGAACAGGTTAAATGTTCAGATTTCTGGGTCTTTACTGAGCACCAATTTACCCATCACTTTAGAATCTGTCTTCTTAAAATAAATATCACCCCAGGTGATACTGGTAACCAAGAAGCTGTGTGTTCCAGAAGTCTAGCCCAGTATCCCCAGTGAGGAGCCCCCTCCCATGCCCATGACAAAAGCCCAGCATTACCACTGCCTATCCTCCTTCTTGTGGGCCTTCCACCACTTAAGGAGAACATTCATGTGTCCAGGCCAGGCCTCTGCCCCAAGCTCTTATTAGAACCCAATATGCCTGGAGTTATCAGAAATTAACAAGAAAATCCCCAAATAGGACTCTGGGCCCTGTTGCAGTTGATGTCATCTGGACAAGTCAGTGCCACGTGTGAATGTGTGCCATGGAAAGAGGGAGGGATCTGCCACCAGCTTTCTTCCTCAAAGTGATTAGCAATCCTGTTTGCTTCTCTTTTGATAGGTGTGATGGCAGAGTGAGAAATCGTCATTTTACTACACTTACACCATTTCTGCCCTGGGTAAAGTTCTGGGAGAGTCAGCAGACCTCTTGATCTTTTCAAACAGCCTCTGGTATACCCTTTGGAAGTGCTTCAGTAAGCTGGCTAGGGCTCTTGGTCTCCAGCCCTCCATTTTCCAGGCAAGTTTCTCTAGTGCTGGAAGACTCCATTCTTGACAATTCAAGGGACCCACGGGCAATGTCAGGGCTTGGTATTGTGTAGGTGATGTGCTGACATGCTACAGGCATTGAATGTGGTAGACTAAAGGGTGTATAAAATATTTATTCAGAAGTACAGAATCATAAGGAAAGGGAAAAAACTAGGAGTTTCTCCATAAGGAATAGTAAGCAGCTTCTAAGCAGTTTAGTGCTTACCAACAAAAGAATAAAGAAAAATGTTGATGCCTAAGGCAGAGGATGTAAGTTAGTTGTCAGAACATTTGCCTAGCATGCACAAGGTTCTGGGTTCCATTCTGAGCACCATCAAAATTTTTTTAAATATAAATAAAAGATGGTGATGTAGCTCAGCTGATAGAGTGCTTGCTAGGATGCATGAGGCCTTGGGTTTGATTCTCAACACTGCATAAACCAGGCACACTGGTACATGCCTGTAATCCAAACACTTGGGAGATAGAGGCAAGAGGATCAAGAGTTCAAAGACAGCCTCAGATATATGTCAAGGTGGAGGCTAATCTGGGCTACATGAGATCTTGTCTCCAAAAATTTCTATAAATCATATACATGAATTCATGCTGGAGTCATTACTGTAGAATCAAACAGTAATTAAATAAAAGTCTTCTTTATAGCTGGGATCAAACCGTATATTTCTAGCATCTCATAAAGCATACTGTTAAATAAGCTTCACCCCTCTATGTTAATTAGTTGTTGCTGCCAGACAGAAAAGTCAGTTAGTAAAAAAAACAACATCTTCAAAACTGAATATGAACTTAAACAATGAATCCAAAGGCTACACAGGACACATTAATAAGATAAAAGTATTTCAAATTATTATATTTGTTTTATAAACTCAATGCCATTTCAATCAAAATCTGGTATCTATTGTGAAACATGACTAACTGATTCTGTTATGGAGAGCAGAGGACCAAGGGTTGCCACAATCATTTGAAAGAAGAATTTAAGTAGATTCTCACTGATCAGTAGAACTAGTATTATAAAAACAGCTATACTACCAAAAGTGATTTATAGATCCAATGCAAGACCCACTGAATTCCAATGACATTCTTCACAGAACTAGGAAAAAAATACTAAAATCTATATGGAAGCACAAATAGCCAAAATAATCCTGATCAAAAAGAGCCATACTGGCTCCTAGCCTGGTTACCTGTCCCATTCCTTGTCTTGGCGCCCCAGACACCAGGGAAACCATGACTACTTCCTGATCCTTTGCATCCAGACCAACCCAGTTCCTCAGTACAGTCCCCAGGAGTCCTTGGGGCATCTTCCCACCCCCATCTCCCTTTGCATCTCTGGGTGGCACAGACACCATTTGCCCTAGACCAGCGTATTTCCTGGGCCTGGCTCCCAGGCCAGTCCAACCCCCAAATTCCTGAAGCCAAAATCTTTCCTGGAGGGATCTAGACCTTAGGAGAAAGCCTGACCGCATCTGATCCTCACCTGACTTGGGCCTCTGTGGGAACTCCTGAAGACAAAAGCAATCTGGCCACTCCAAAATAAAATCAAAAGAGAGAACCGGAAGCTTAGAGGAACCAGCTTTTCATGCCCAAAAAGTAAACTAAAAAGACACATAAAGTTCACAAAAAGAAGCAGACTTAAACTTGAAGGCTCCAATCTCACACAAGAATCAGAAACTACAAAAGAAATTCACATGTCAAAATCACAGAGAAAAAAATAATAACATGAAAAACCAAAATAACATATCCCTATCAAATACCAATAGTCTTCTAGAGGAGTACAGTGAGAACCCCCTAGAGATAATGCAGGGCATGGAACTCAAAAGAAGAATCATAAACATGATAAAAGAATTCAATGAATTTAAAGAACACAGAAAAAAAGAAATCAAAGAACTGAAGGAAGATAGGGATAAACTGAATGAATTCAGAAAAGAGTTAGAAATACTGAAGAGCACTCAGCGTGAAATGAAGGAGGAAGTGAAACACACACTAAGCCAATTAGAAAGGACAGGAGAAAGCCTCACCAATAGGATAAATGAAATGGAAAACAGAATATCAAGACTGGAAGATAAAGTGGACAAACAAGACCACTCAAGCAAAGATTATGAAAAATTTAAGAACTCACAAGAATGGAATATGCAGGAATTGTGTGACACCATAAAAAGACCAAACTTACGAATCATAGGCATACAGGAAGGAGAAGAATCCCAAGATAATAGCATGGACCAGATGTTCAACAGAATTGTGAAAGAAAATTTCCCAAAATGAAAGAAAGACATGCCCATACAAATACAAGAAGCATATAGAACACCAAACAGACAGGACAAGAAAAGAAACTCTCCACAGCACATCATAGTAAAAACACTAAACGTACAGAACAAAGAGACAATACTGAAAGCTGCAAAAGAAAAACAAGTCACATAACATTTTTTTTTTTTGGAAGCAGGGTCTCCCTGTAGCCCCCGCTGTCCTGGAACTCACTATGTAGACCAGGCTGGCCTTGAACTCACAGAGATCCGCCTGCCTCTGCCTCCCAAGTGCTGGGACTACAGGCATGTGCCAGGATTACAGCTGAATTTTCAGTGCAAACTATGAAAGCCAGAAGAGCCTGGACCAAAGTATTCCCAGTTTTAAATGACCACAGATGCCAACCCAGATTACTATACCCAACCAAAATGTCTATTACAGTCGAAGGGGAAAGAAAAAACTTCCCTGACATAAATAGGCTGAAGGAATTCATGTCCACAAAACCAGCCCTTCAGAGAGTTCTGGAAGCAATACAAAGAGCTGAAGAAAGGAATGACTATAACCAAGGGGTTGCGGAAAGAAATTCAATGAAGGTATAACTGTGGAAAAGTACAGCTATATCA